AGTGTAGCTCGTCATTGTGCGATATGGCATGAAAAACAATGACGAGCTAGACTCGTCATTTTACCGGAAGGGGTTAAGAGATGACTTAGTAAATGAGTTTTAGATAACAAATTTCTTTACCCCCAAAGTCATAATTTTCTTTCTCCTTCCTCCGCCTTATAGAAACATTACCTTTCTAAGAGTTTCAGAAGTACTTTCAAATCACTTAAGCTGAAATTGGTGACAGATTGTTCAAAAACTGGTTGTTGGTTCTTGAGTAAGGAATAAAGTAATAGCTGATGTTACAGGAATAATTCAAAGTGCTTATTAAACATCTTAAGAATCATTGAACTTTTGTAGTATCCTTCAATTGCATGTCTAATTTATTAAGCAGAAGGTTTGTGTTAATTAAAATTATTCAAAAGAAATTATATATTTTTTAATTAACAGGTTTAAAACTATTTTTGAAACATTCTACCTGAAGGCGAAAAATTTCATATAGAATAAATTTAAATTTTTGTACCATGTAAATAACAATAATGAAATCATTTTTGAATGGTAGAAAGGGTTTGAACTGCACGAACAGTTTGCTTAATACAATACAAGCTGGCTAGAGCAAAATTACTAGTTTTTATGTCAAGGTTTAACAAAATAGACATGGTAGCAATACGCCACGTTTATCATCTGTTCTTTTAAATGCCTCAAAGTGTTTTGAAAAGGTAAAGAAACATAACTCATTCGGTTTTAAAATATCAAGCAAACTGAGAAATAATAGAACAGATGATATGGGATTTGTAATATAATCGGTCTTGAGTTTCAAGTACATAAGAGTGGAATGTTCATAAAAAGGTCCAAATCATACAGAACATCAAAACCTAAAATTAAAACATATGAGCGACAGGGGGTCCAGCGCTCGTGTGACAAGCCGATTGCATTCCTCGTGGTGCTATCAGTCAAAACTATGATGGAACAAGATAGATAACATTTAATTAAGTTATCCATTCTCATGTTTCAATGTAAGTATTATCATTGTCTTCATTAATGTTTCCTACTGCATTGTATGATTATATAGTACTGCGTTATGTACAGTGTATAATTATCTCTATATTCTATGTAATTTTTATTAGAATATAGATGTTTAAAGCAAAATATTTTTGTAAAACTGGGTAACAATTTTTTCATTAATAGAGAAAATAAAGTGAGAAACTTTCTTATAAGTAATTTTATTGCCCCCAATATTTGTTTAGACAATTTCTGAAACATATGTATTTTGAAAAGATATCGGTTAAAAAAATAAGCTAAATATCTTTCTCTAACACAAGAAATCATTAAAAACTTGCTTACTTCTTTGGAACAGTATGCCATAAGGGATGAGAGAAGTGTTCCTTCTTCTACAAAAGGTTTTTCTTCTTTCAGTGCTTTGATGGCAGCATGACGCGCAGCAAGGAGATTTACTAAAATGCAATCACTAGCAGAACCCTAAAATATACATAAAATATTTAAAGCTTTCTTCCCATCATTATTTATTTGCATTGTGATACTTCTAGAGAAAGTAGTATTTAAAAAGAGAAAAAGTTCTAAAACTGTGTGATGGTTGTGAACCGAGTCATAAAATTAATGTTCGTAACAAAATTTGAAATAGAAAAACGTAAAATTAAGCTAATTTCGAAAACTAAATTATCTTCATTATACAGCATTTAGTTTCAAAATTAACTACTATCTGAGCGCCGTGAAAATGTCAAATTAATATAATTTTGGGGGGGCTTCGATAAATTTTCATCAGCAGTCTGAAATCAAATTAAAATTTTTATTACTTTGTAGTAAGTAAAATATTATGAAGATAATTTTGAAACTCTTGTAAAAACAGTAAAAAAGATATAGTAAAAAATTCATGGGGAAGATGGCAAAGCGAATAGACGAACTGGATGTAGAGAAATGAATTTCTATCTATGAGAAATTACAGCGCTTATTATTTTATTCTGATTAGATAGATGCTCTATGACTCAACATATTTTCGTCCATTCTTACTTGCGACTCACTTCTGCGACAAAGAGAAAAGATAAAAATTATGTCTTATGTTTAGTCTTTTAAAGTTGTTCATAACTATTTCTCCTTATAGTAACCATGAAGTTAATTGTAGCATTTAATTGTAGCATAATATGATCGTAACTTGAATATTTTATTCCAGTTCCTACATAAAATATGTGACGTTTCAAACAAACGCCTTGTTTCCGCTATTGTTATCCCAACAGCCGCCGAAAGGTAAAGTCGCTGAACGCTGGTAGTTCGATCCGAGGTTCGAATCCCACAAACGAGTTGGCTGTATGGTCGTTTTCGTGGTTTTCCCATGTGTAACGTGTATACGAGCCATTTTCCCTTATAATGTCCTCTACGAAGGCATCCTTCGCCTTAGTCAAATAAGCCCTCAAGGCATTACCGTAATCACATAAACCAAACCATCTGCTGTTATGACTCCACTTGTATTTTATCCAATATAAATAAATAAATGCATAACATTGTCTTATTATGCAAGTTAAAATATCTGAATCTTTTAATTAATTTTAATTCATTTTTTAAGTACCACAAGTTTTCATATGCATTACAACGTATGTGTCAAAAATCTAAAGCTAGAATATTATTAAAGAATGTAACCCTTGCAGAATCTAGTGACTCATACTGTTCAGATGCGCACAGTTAGAGTAAGTATGCAAATCAAGTCCGATCATCTGAGTAAGACACTATCTAGAGAGCACCGTAGAAGGTGATTACAACAGTGTGAGATCCTCCAAAACTGGGCTATGCAGTAATGGATTAATGTTCTCTGATGACAGTCGGCTTCCTAGCCAAATTAATGACGTGAAAGGAGTAAGGCAGTCAACAGGAAAGTATTCAAAAAAAGGTATTGTTATAATGGTATTGGGGAGGTGGTGTGGGACGGTATCATGACTAATGAACGTGCTGAGCTACAAGTGATAGAAAATGACCCCGTAATAGGCGAATGCTGTTGTAAAGAGTTTATTAATCACTGTTGTTGAACTATTTTATGATAATTATGTCACATCACATACAAATGAGGCAATGCAGGATCTCCCGGAGAATGAGGATATCCATTAAATCGATTGGCCTGATGCTTTCTAGAGCTCGATACCATTGAGCACGTATGGGACATCATAGGGAGGCGAACTACAGCTTCCAATTCTTTGTCGAAAACAAGTAAGACTTAATCTATGATCTAACGAAACATTTTAATAATATGTCCTAGAAACTTTTACATCCCCCTGGTAATAAGCGTGCCATTACACTGTGATTACTGTACTGCATCTGGGGGTAGATATATTCCCATCGAGAAGTTAAATTCCCTGGGCTTTGGTAAAATTTACTTCTAATTCCTTCTTCATATGTCTTCTTCTCCTGTGTGTAATTTTTTTATCTTATTTCGAATACATAGTTAGTTATTACTTTGTGTCAGATGTCTACAGCTTGCCATTGTCGCTCATCCTTAAGTTTCAGTCAAGTGTGTAGCAGTGATTAAAAAATGTTCAAATTTAAATAAGGTATGTTTATGTCACAAACAGGAAACCGTGCTAGCTGAATACCATTCTTGAGTAATTCTTTCAACATGTTGACATGTTTCTTGACTTGAAACACTTACTCTAAGTCAAAAATATGCACAAGTAATTCAAAACCATTTATCAACACTCTTATATTTTATTCCAAGAAATATTTTTAATCTATATAACTGACTTTGGAATTCATGTATCATTATATTATTTCATTTACATTTATTAAATACATAATTCAAATTTCACTTTCCTCGTCCCAGTAGTAAAGTGTTTCATTGTTTTAAGAAATGATGAGTAGCTTTACACTTATCTTCAGTCCGATAATCGTGAAATTTAGTCGTCATTTCGGAACTTGATGAGATTTTCGTTTCATATTTCTTGGCCTGAAAGCATAACGGCAAGGAGCCCCACTTCTATCATTGATATTTTCGATTCCATATTGTTCCTGACATGTCCTATGTTTAGTCCAATGTCTGCCATATACCCGGCATTTAAACATCCTTATGTTCGTCGTTTAAACGTTATAATTTTCCTTTCCTCCCGATGAAAAGTGTAAAAATTATCAATAATATAATAAACTCAGAAAGCCTAATGACGTTTTTTACTCATACGCCTTTTAACCCCTTGACATACATATTTTCTTGTGTTATTGTAGACTTTGACGTCTGCGAGACGGCAAGAACTGTCTTCGACAAAGGCCGCGCAATATATTATTAGGTTCTTTAACTGCTGCAGCCGTGCTTTAATCCTGTTTTGTGTATTTTCTCCCTCTCAACAAACAAATATCATGTTTTGTATGTTTTCCTCCCCTCCCTTTCCCCCTCTCTTATTTGTATGTCAAGGTGTTTATAAGGAAATGGAAACTATTTGCGTTATGTTTTTATTGGTCACAACTTTTCCAACGCTAAAACATAACTATGCCTTTGCTTTGTGGCAAAGCATACACGAATGTATAATTGTGCTATTGATTTGATTTTATGTAGGTCATGTTTGAATAATTTCATTGACACATGCAAATATTGGTATAAGTATACCTCTAGATCAACTTCTGCAAATATTTTGATCACGAGGGAGCAAGTTTTTGACTATAAAGAAATGCAAGCATCGAATATTTTTAAATATGGATGATTTAGGAAGTCAGCCCTAGAATTACTTAAAAGAAACGAGGAACTTTTGTTAACTTAAATAAAATAAAAAGATATTTTGAGTGATAAACAGACACAAATAATAAAACGCAGTTACAATTGCTTAAAAACACAATTGAAAAATGGATTTCATTTGAAACCGACTTATAATTACGCATGTAATTAATACACTATCCGACACTGAAAATGCAACACCAAGAAGGAATGACCAGAAATGAAACTCGGCAAGCAGAGAGAGACCGCAACAAACAGTAGGTGGGTGACCTTTATTTCGAAATGATATGCAGAATACAGAGAAAGAACAGCGTCGGCTCAGTAGGTTGTAGGACCATCTTAAACGACGAAACACGGCAACACATCTAGGTACATATTCCGTGAGACTACGGATGGTGTCCTGATGAATGACTCTCTATTCCCTGTCAACCATTTGCCATAGTTCGACTTCTGAACGCCGGTATGGCATGGTCGGCAAGTAGCGTCCAATCACATCTTAAATGTGTTCGATTAGTGAGAGACCAGGAGAAAACGGTGACCAGAGAAATATCTATACAACTTGCAGAGCACGTTGACTTATGCGAGAAGGGTGTGGTCAGGCGTTATCCAGCTGATAAAGGGTATTGGGCACTCTCTGAAGGTAGGGGAGTGTCAGCGGCCGCAACACATCATCCACGTATCATTGGGCCGTCATAGTGCTCTGACAAATTAGAAGTGACCTGGAATCGTACGCAATTGCATCCCAAAACACGATGCCGCGTTGTCGTGCAGTGTGGCGTTCCACAATTGCTGCAGGATTGGACCTGTCTCCACATCGACGCCATACTCGTACGCAGCGATTATCATTGGTCTCCAATGATACGACCCCGTGCCACTAGAACACGACCCCGTGCCTTTCTGTCGTCCACATTTCTCAAGCCTAGCACCATTGCAATGGTGGCCTCTATGATGTGGGGTCAATGGCAGTTCTAATGGACACCACGAATGCAAGCCACTGCTGTGGCGGGCACAATTGCGGGTGCGGCACCGCTTGTAGGCGGATGCGACGATCCACGTGTACTGACGTCACTCTGGCTGCACTGGCACCCCTCGAACTTGCCCCATTTCCATGTGCTAACTATCGTTGCCACAGCCGGTGCACTGTGGATGCGTCCGGGTGTGTGTCAGCTGAGATTTGCCCTATAGACCAACCTGCCCTTCTAAGTCCGATTACTATGCCCCTCTCAAAATCGTTAAAATCGAGTCTGCTAGAATTGCCTCCGTTACGACGGCCTGCCATCCTCTGCTATTACATGCATCCTCTGAGAAAAGCACAAATTTTTTACGATTATTTCCCTAGCAGAAATACCGGCACGAAAACTGAGCATTCTACCCTGAAATTTGGATAACTTTCGGGTCGTTCCTTTTTGGTGTTGCATTTTCAATGCTAGTGTATGACCAACTGCTCGACTACCTGCTTAAACCTGCTTCTCATTCTAAAAAAGTGAGTGAAGTCAGATATTCTATAGAAATGAAAAATGCACATTTTCTGTAGAAATGTATAAAATGAAATGCAATATATAAAAATTTTCAAACTTTGTTGCGGAATTTCATACGATCTTTTTGGCTGTGTCTAATTTGAAATCTAATTTGAAATAGTCGTGTTCTTTTTTTACAAAGACTGTCATTCTTGTTGATTCTAAGTCGACCATAAATTCAGTAGCTCTTCAACACCACTCTGAGCCTCCTCTTGTGTCAAAAATAAAACGAGATATCAGGAAACTAAACTGTAACGGTA